TAAATGACATTTTTTACCATCAGTGGCTCTGAAATCAAGCATGTACACTAACAAAGGCAAACCAACAAAGAGGTATGTAAAAGAGCTTCATCTACCTTGGCGCTGACACCAGGGGAAGCCAGCTCACCCCATGGACGTCTGCACTTTGATACCCCAGCTGTGATAATGATGAAAAGTTAATGGGTTCTTATCTGCATCAACCTGATGATCATAGCCTTGGTTATTTTTATTATTTGTAAGGACGGGAAGACTCTGAAGGCTTAGAGTCACAGAATTTCTTAGATTGGCAGGTATGGAGGCTACAAAGCCGCCTCCTCTCTGCGTAGATTAAGTGAGTTCCATGCAGTTACCATGTAGGGGTCTCTCAAATGAGACCACAAAATGGCATAACTTTCCCCTTCTGTGGGGACATTAAAGATCCCTGGGCCATTTCCAGAAAAGGAAGGGTTTGCCACCATGCCACTGTGCATGTGCCTGGGACCTTCCTTCAAGCCCAGCAGCCAGCCTCTCTCCACAGGCTACTACCGCTTCAGATATCCTGAAAAGTTCAATATATTTACTCAATTTATTAAAAAATGTTCTTCTGATGGTTCTGAAAGATTTAAAAGTAAAAAACAAAAAGCAACCAAAGGTCTCTCTAGGTAAAGTTACATGAAATTCAACTTGCTTCCAAAATATTTGATTAGTCCTTTTTGAACATAAATGCCTTGCAGTATTAATTTTATTTTGAAAAACAAAAACAAACCAATATGTAATAAAAAATCTCATAATCCATGATTCATGCTTTCTGATACAGGTAATGTAAAATAAATGATATAATCTACAAAACAATGACAAATGAAAGACTTGGAAAAGGTTATGGTTTGACAAGGTAACATTTTTGAGATCTGGACACCAATCAAATTGATGTAAGTATTGGTGATGCGGCACTCCCTGACAGTAAAGTCTTTACCAGTTTCTACAACGTATAGGAGAAGCCTATTATGATCGCTAAACGTCAGCTTTTGTTCATAAGCTCTTTCATAACGCTGGAACCAGGAAAATGATTTAAAGCAGTTCAATTTGTCTATTTACCTTAATCTTTAACTATTCCCATACGTCTGGCTACATGATGTATGACTCTTCATAAACCAATTTTTCAAAGATGTATACGACAGAAAAAAAAAGCCTAGCTCCTAACCTTTTGTGTGTTGAACTTTATAGAACTCAAGGAAACAGAATGCTTTCTGCTTTCAGAAAAGGGGGGAAAGTGTGTGGGGAGGAAAACAGGTTATTTTCTTTTGCTTCTTTTAATTTTTTTTTTGGCAAGTATTTACAGTCAGTGGAAACAGAAAAGGCAGTAATTTCTAGGTGAATAGGTGATTTCTAATGTTCCATCTGAATACATTTTTGCATTTAAAAATGGTGATGGCTTTTGTTTCAAACAAAGAATTATTTATTATTAATTAGTAACATAAAAATTACTTTAAAATCAATAGCTACATATTAAAACCTTAAGTTTGCATAAGTCCCACTGGCAAGGTGGGAGTATTGTGCAAAGCTGAGTGGATTGGAAGAAATGTAGGGTAGGGGCTCCTCAATCTAAGAAACCTAAATCTTTACTTTCTGTCTTAGAAAGAAAAGTAGTAAACAGAGAATACATTCACTTTGTCTGCATTTACAACATACCATAGCCAGACCTAGTGGTGTAAGCCTGTAATCTCTGAAGTAGAAGGATTGCCTCAAACCCTACCTAAGTCATCTAGCAAGACTCTGTCTCAAAACAAAGCCTTTTGAAAGGTAAGAGGCGGTGGCTGGGTGCTACAGTGCATGTCTTGTACGAGCAAGACCCTACAAGCAATGCCCAGTACTGAGAAACAGGAATGACAAGGCTTTTAAACTAATGCTTAATCAACTGGCGTCTCTGCAAAGATGGAAATGAAGAGGAGTACATCTCTTGATGCAGGAAGGTAGTGCATGTTTACAGGGTACCTAGTGTGTGCTCGGAGCTGGATAAACAACTCTAAGCAAGATAAAGTCAAGCCCTCTCTTCTTGGAGCCTGGATAATTTTAACTGAAAATTCAGCTTTAGGGCCATTACTGCCAGGTTACAATTATGAGCTAGTCAACAAGTAAATTTCTTTCTTGTACTTTTTGGTCTTTAAACTCTCTTGAGCTCAGTCCTTATGCAAATTTTGTCCTGTACCTTGTGTTATTTTTAAGGTACACTCTAATTTCCCAGCTGGTTTGGCCAAATTAGAAAATGTCGTCTTCCTACATAAAAAGGCACAAAATATTAGAATCCTCGCCATGAATATAGAATGCAGAATAGACTTAGCAGCTTTCACATATCTAATGAGGTGCCTACCTCAATTTCAGGCACTTCGCGTATGTCCAGTACGGATGAGTTCACCGTGTGCAAGCCTTACTGTGTTTAGAGCTAAGATCCACAATTTTCCTGGGCAGATCAGAATTAGCTACATTATTTTATAGTATAGCATAGTCCATCTTCAAATAGAAGAAAGTCCAAGGGGGAAGAAAAAGCCCAATAGGATATTTAAGTTACCTCATTCCTGTATTTATTGGTAAACTCTTGTTGTACCAGCATATATTTTACTACAGATAGATAAACACTATTTACTTATAGAGAGCTTATGCATAGGTCTTCATAAACTTATATATTAATTAATAAGCCATGAGCCTTGGTGCAACTTCCCTAAGAAGTAGCTTCTACATTAAAAAAAAAAAAGCCTGTCAACCAAAGTGGAAAAATTTACCATTTACTTTCTTACTGTTTCCAGGCATTATTGAAACCTAACATACAAAAATTGAGCTTAAAAAAATCATCAGATGTCTGGGGCTAGGAAATTTGAGTTGAGTCTAGACCTTGTCTAAAAATTAATTAATTAAAATAAGCAAATAAAAATCGACAAGAAGCTATGCATAAAAGCATATCAGAGACTTTTATCCTCAGCATCCTTGCAAACGCTTCCATTTTTCCACATTATTAGACCAAATTATTATAAATGTCAAACTGATATTTCAGCATTGGCATCTCAAAGCAGAGAAAATTTATGTCTCATATACATTCACCAAATGAAACACTGAATTACATCTTTCTATGTGCACGCGTATCTTTTCAGGCTTTATGCACATAAGTATAACATTTACCATAGTAAATACCATAACATGTATTCTTCAAATGAAATCATTTTACAATACAAAACCTAGCATGCCCAAAGACAGCATCACAGTTTACCTGCTATGTTGCCATTTTAATGTGTGTTCGTAATTTTGTAATTCCTGAGACAGTGAGTATAAAAGTCACAAGAAATGTCCACTTCCCCAAGCTGAGAATAGTCCAATTTGTGTTGCTTTTTAATGCTGGGCATTCTAATTTTGAGTCTTATTCCAACGGTAGGCTAACAAAGTTGTCATCTCCAAGTGATTTGGAATTACGATACAAATGAAAGGACCTAAGAGCTATGCACTATGAAACTGATGTGTGTTTTAACAACAATAAGCTGGCAGTTCTCGGGAACAAAGTACAAAGCAAACATACTTACATGGCATTTCGCAAACTGCTGTAGCCTGTTTACATAGACATTTAACCACTTATCCTGTCCTTAATGCACTGATAACTTTATTGAAAAAAATCAACATCAATAGCTATGAGCTAATACACTTGATAAAACTACTTTGAAAATGCAACAATTTTAGAGACACTTCACATATAATAAAATAATTACGTTTTGCTGGGTAGTTCATTTGAACTAATGCAATTAAAATTATTTTTTTAAAAAATATAGTTGGAAATAGATTCTTAAAATTTATGTATTTTTTTTTAAACCGTTCTTTCTTTAAAACTTCCCATACAGTTGGGAAACTGACTGTGGATCCTGACTCCAATGTAGGGTCAATGCTGTATCGAATTTCCAGACCATTCTCAGAGTACCTTCTGGCAATGGAAACATTTTGACCACTGACACTCCCTATGGGTATATCTGACTATCCTGCTACAGTGCACCATTCCCATTATTGAATCTACAACAAACTGCTGTAGGTTATTCATTGATTGAGTGTTTAAGTGTATTCTTTAGGAGCAAATAGAGAACTAATTTGTAAGCAATCACATAAAATAAAAAAAAATCAGCAGAATTCTGACTTCAAAGACACTTTGAGCCTCAGCACTTAATTATGTCCCTCTTTGATTAGACGGTGTCGCCGTCAATAAGCATACGCAGAGCCTGGTATCTGTATCACAGTGGATTCTTCCCAGCACTGCACTGTGTCATGCAGAGAAAACTTGAAAGCACCTACCAAATGTGATATGCAAGATAAGCCAGGTTTAGCCCCTTTTTAGGATCATATTCGTGGGCCTGCTTCAGTTGCAACATTTGACAGAATGTTTATTTAACCAATAAAGATGTAGGGAGTCCTTCTACTTTCTCTAATACACGTGAAACTAAACATCGGGTGAACCGTTTGCAGCCTGAAGACATGACTGCCTGCCAGCCTGTGAGTCTGTAAGGCAGCATCGGCTTTAAGACCTCTTGCCGGGTCTTCTCAGCATTGCTGAACCAGGGAGTGTATGTGGTGGTATGTGGGAGAGCAGACAGCTCTGCATCTCTTCACACAGCCCTTCCAGCATGTGTGTAGGCCAGCTTTGAACCAGGCATGCGACCAGTCTCGCTGCAGTGTGGACAGCGGGGGCTTCTGAGAGCCAGAGCCAGGGCAAGGCAGAATGCTTTGACTCCTTAAATGCATCTGCTCTCCCTCTTGCTTGAAAACCAGAATGAACGTTCTGACTTCTCGGAACAAAATGATATCTCTGCCATGCCAGGATGGTTTCTTTTCCTTTGAATCAAATTGATGGAGTTTGAGATACCTTAACAAAATGAGCATTGAGAAATATGTAAGAATAAAGCAAGTTTTTAAAAAGATCTCTCTTTAGCTATAATAAAAAGCAGCATAGGATAGATGGATCACAAGTACATGTTCTTTAAAAAGCAAGTTGAGGGAAACATGCATTTATCATTTTTTTTTGTCATCCTTGCGTAGGGGCCATGCTAATCTTCTTTGTAGTGTTCCAATTTTAGAATAGGTGCTGCCGTAGAGAGCACTTGTTTGTTTGTTTATTTGCAAAGCACACAACAGATAGCAAGGCTTTATTTGTTTGTTCCTGTCCATTGCAAGGAAGTCCTTATGAAATCCCTGTTCTATCTGCATCAAAGAGAATAGAAGCTCCAACTGTTAGTAGCAATCAACATTTAAAAGTCACAATTTTCTCTGTATTTTTATGAAATGCAAGCGCCACACTGTTCAGTGTTGGTGCTTTTCACTTAATTATTTTCATGTCAATAGCTGCATCGGAGAAGAAGGGCCTTCAGCTGCCCGCCACCTTCCCAATGCAAGAGTCGGTAAATCCTAACGATTATTCCAATTAGTGAAATGCTTGCGAACTTTGAGAGATCACTGAATGTAGAAGCTGTTTTTGCCTAATACAACGTTTTCAGCAATATCACTGTTCGAGGATGTAAATAACCAGGGGATAGAAAACAAATTTTAAAAATACAAGAAAAGCAACAACCTAAAAGGAAATGTCACGGTCGATGTCACATCAGCACTCACCTCTCTGGGAAACTTCTTAGAGTTCTTCGAGTGTGTTAATTAATGAACTAGGTCAGTTAATCGGTGTGATTACTCTGTGGAAATTTGTACGGTGCCCGTTCACAAAGGGCATTGCACTTTGGGACAGAAACATAGAAATGGAATTAAGTTGTTTATAAAACAGGAGGAAAAGCATGCTGGCGGAAAAAAATACAAAGTATGCAGCTGGAATGCGGTTTAAGATTGATGGCAGGTTCTGCTCATCGCCAGATCTGCACTGTGAGTAATTCTGAAAATCTCTTAAAATGAAAATGAGGAGGAAAATGCCATGCTAACACTTTTATAGTCTTTTTACAGTACCATAAAATATTATTTTATTCTTTTGTAAATTATGCTCTTGGTCAGATTCTGCAATGCTATGAACAGTACTGTCCAACTTAAAATGTGGCTTACTGCTGAGCATGTGTGTGTGTGTGTGTGTGTGTGTGTGTGTGTGCGCGCGCACACGTGTGCATGCATGTGCACGTACTATTTTTATTGTATGGAATTTATTAACTGCATATTTTATATTCTTTAAAATGAATATATTTAATGAATCTACTCCCTGAGAAGGGCACTGAAGAATTCTAATAGTTTTAATGGGATACTTTTGATTCTGCAAGGAAATTTCTTCCTTCAATTTAAGAAAAAGTCCAGCTAAGCTAAAGGTTAACACATACGTAGACATGTCTACATCAAACAAAGTTTTACCAATTCAAGCCACTGTCAAAACCCAACTACCTTTATTAAATTAGAGTATTTTATTATATATATATACATATATATATATATGGCTCTTACTAAACTATGGCTGTTTTAAAGACTTGAGCTTTCTACTCAGAGCCAAATTCTGACAGAAAGAAACAACAAACTTGCAGTCAGTATTTGTAGAAGGAAGATGACGACAGAGAATTGCAAGGTGTATGGAACGAAAGACAAGGAAGTTCAATAAGAGAAGGAAACGTACATGTGTGGTGGTTAAATGGCCTCCACCACCTACAGACAATAATAATAATCTACAGTTGAGCAATACAGGTATAAAACATGTCCAGCATGACAATTTATTCAGTAGTAGGAATTTCAGCCTGGAGAGATGGAGACTGTGCCTGGCATGTGCCAATCCCTATTTTCAATGCCTAGGATCACCAAAACAATTCACCATGGAGTCCTAGCTCTATGACTTCTCAAAGACACATTTTATGAAGGTGAATATCTGTTCATTCCCATTAAGAAACAGTATTCCACCTGTCACTGCCTACTCTCTGAACTACGTTATCAGAACTTCTTTTCATATCAGATATGTAAGAGCAATGGAAAACCAGAGTCTGGGATACATCTAGCAGCATCTAGTAGGCATACCTGAGCTTAGGGTACTTCCACATGGGCAAACTCTCAGACTAGAACCTCAGGCTGCAAGCACACCTCCAAGAAAATGCTGACGCCACCACCAGTGTGCAGGGTTTGTTATTTTGTTTTGGCTTTACTTTTTATTCTTTTGACCTTTTGGTCTTTTGAGGGTCCCATCACCCAGCTTCCAAATCAATTACTCACATAGAGGCTTATTCTTTGTTACGAATGCCTGGCCTTGACTTGTGTCTTTCCAGCTTTTCTAACTTAAATTATCCCAACTACCTTTTGCCTCTGGACTTTTTCCTTTTCTTACTTCTGTATATCTTACTTTCACTCCTACCCTGTAGGGAGTGGGGGGCTGGGGGCTAGGTGGCTGGGCCCTGATAGCCTCCTTTGTTTTCTTGTTGCTTTCTCTCCCTCTTCCAGGCTTCTCTATTTTTCCTCTCTGCCTGCCAGCCCCACCTATCCTTACTCCTGCCTCGTTATTGGCCGTTCAGCTCTTTATTAGGACCATCAGGTGTTTTATACAGGCAAAGAATCACAGCTTCATGGAGTTAAACAAATGCAGCATAAACAAAAGTTACACACCTTAAAATAATATTCCCCAACACCAATGTCTGCTAACAGTGAAGACACAGAAGAATCTTCTCATGTATCCACCACTGGATTGATGTTTCCTTGACCATGTCAGAGAATACTATCACTTTTTCATGTCTACTTTTGATAGGCTACAAGTGGAAGGGTCTTTGTGAAGTCCTTTGGAAATCTGAACATACTTAAATTCCATCCAGTTAAACACTGAAGTTCCGTATGCTATACTTTTGTGACAATAGGCAACACATTTTCTTCTTGAAGTTAATCTGGACTCAACTCTACCACAGAACCTATGAGTTAAATTAGAAGCTACATCACCCATCTTTCATTTGGTTTAGGTATGAAGACATTGCCAAATATTACATGATGCATCTATCTTAATTTTAAAATATCAAACAAATTCCCATATACTAATATACAGTTGATGTGTTACTATACTTTAAAAATAAAGATACTACAGATACAGAAGGCTCAGACATAAATTTATCACAACCCTAGAAGCACAAATAAGGAAGAAAAGAAACCTAACTATATCTATGAAAAGATGAGCAAAACAGAACTTGTATTTGAAAAGAAAAATACATACTAACTTCTTTTGAGTCTTCCTAGTTTTGTAAATTTTAGACAATTCAGTTAATTTATAACATCCAATCACTTATTTATATTTACTATTCATGTAGGTTGCTTTTGTCAAGCTTGGCAGAAGTAGATCCCTCTTCTTCCACATTAAGTCTTAACGTTAAGTACGTACACTGTGCCTGATAATCTTGATGAAGACATTTGGACCAAATGAAGCACTGTGGAAGTTTCTGCTGGTTTACAGACAGTGATGATGCAAGCTAAAAATAGTGAACAAGGTTTTTGAGAATTTGCTTGTGAAGGAGAGAGAGGTTGAAAGAAAATCATTACCCAGATAAGCTTGAAGCTTAGCAGGGAGAAGCCTGCGAGAAGGTTTCACGGGGGTTTATTTGGTATTGACACATACATGTATTTCCCTCTCAGCTGGAATGACTCCAAAGGGGCTGTCATGGTTGGTTGAGTAAATAATACATGCTTTAAAAAACAATTATAAATCCGTATTCACCTGATGGACTTTGTATTCATTCCAGTCAATTGGGCATATAATACTCGTTTAAAAAATAAGTACATATAATGCATTAAAAACTGCTTAAACGCCCATTTAACCGGAGGGGCCAAAACAGCTCTAAAATGGAGCATGTGATTAACACTAATGGAACTTCTGCATATGTAATGAAAGGAGAACCCCAAACCCTTTTAAACAGCTGTGACAGGAGAATGACAGCTGGGAAATACTAAGGTTTCCGTTCCCATTGTTCCCAAAAGCACCTCTGGCCTCACAGTAACCAATAATTCCCGGAGTGGTGAATCTTGGGGTCCCAGGCAATAAGTGCCCTGGTACTGAAGGTAAAACAGTGCTAAAAGGAGGACAGCAAGAGCCTGATGATAGGCGATGCTGCTCTGTAATTGGATTGCCTCCCTATCCATCAAACAGCTATCTACTTATGATAGACCCGGTTTACTTGAAGGTCTTCCTCAAGATCCCTTCTTATTTTACCTGTGTATGTACATGTGGTGTGGATGCATGTGTGTATTCTCTATACATGCTTGCAAATTGAGGGGCGCATGTGTGTGTGTGTAAGTACACCTGTGTGCATTTGAAAGTGGAGGAGGGAAGTTGACTTCAGGGTCGTTCTCAATGTTTCTCCTATGGAGGAGCAATTTGTCTGTTGAGGCAGCGTCTCTCACTGTTCCCAGAGTTCACCAATTCAGTTAGTCTGCCTAGTCAGCTTGCTGTGAAGATCTTCTGTTTGTGCCTCTTAAGTGCTGGGATTATAGGCAGATGCCATGCCTACCTGACTTTTCCTTTAGCTATGGGGGATCTGAACTTCAGTCTAAATATTTGCAAAGTGAATATTTTATCCACGGAGTCATACCTTCATGTCTTAAGTCTTTTTTAAATGATGTCAAGTACAAGAAAATCCTATATTTATAATTTAAGTTTTGAATGGGCATAGTTTGGAAATAATCTCAAAGCATTTAAGATTTGGGGTACTTTCTCTTTAAATACAACATAAGATATAAGCAGTCAGCATAAAAATAGACATGATTTTGGATTATTTGTCTTTTGGTTGGACTTTCAATGAAATATTCATTAATGGTTTTTGTAGTTAATAGAATTTAAGGACTACTTTTAAATTTTCATAGTGACCAAAAGACTTCTCCATTAGCCTGAGACATCAGGGTTGAAATTATCAGGGGACGTGCTTTGTAGTGAGGTTGGTAGGGTGCCAGGAACCCACTGTTAAAAGCAAGCACGTTATGTGGACATTCTCACATTCATTCTGTCTTCTTAAGTTCACTTCCCAGTTCTCTGAGCCACAGAGACCACTGGTCTCCCACAAGGATTGGATGCAGGGGAGAGCGCTGATGGAAGCCAGAGAAGAGGTCAGAGCCCTTTCAGATGATGTGAGAAAGAAGATGATGAACAATCGGCAGGAAAAGGGGAACC